AGTATCAGTGCTTCTGGTCCACAGTCCCACACTGGAGTCATGGAGTTTTCAAATGCTGATGCCTGGGCCCTGCCCAGAGACACTGTAATTGGTCTGGGAAGCAGGCACTAAGTTTTGAAAGCTCCCCAGATGATTCTATGTGCAACCAAGACTGAGAACAACTTGTCTAGATGAAAGGGTTTAGGGGCAGGAAGGCAAGGCTGAGTACATTTGGAAATGTGCTTAATTTGATTAGTTGCCAGTAGAAGACTTTGTTCTCATGGTCTCCTGGCCCCACTTAAAGATAATGATAATGATGATGGGAAGAGAAAGAGGGAAATAAGGCATCACTGAGCCAAGTGTTCCTTTGCACAGATGGAAACACGAGGTGCCAAGAGATAAACTGACTTATCACAGTGATCATAACTAGAATCCCAGCCTCTTCACCCTGGCCAGTGCTCCTTCCACTAGGCTCATTGCTTGGTCCCAGCAAAGATGATGCCCTGGATGACACTCGGAGGGACAGGAGCTGGGAGCCATTCTCTAGTTTTCATGGTAGAGGGGCCCAGGCCTCCTCTGCCCCTTGCTCGGTGTCTTGGGACATAACCATTAGCAGTTATTAGAGATTCCAGGGACACAAAAAGGCCACCTAGCTCCCCTGAGGATCAAATCTATGACCTTGGCCTTCTAAATATGTTGACCCTACTCTCGGTTTCCCAGCAGAGCATTACAACACTTTGGCACGTCAGAAAGCTGCGTGGGCTATGTGGCAACATCCTGGTTTCCTCACTGGGAGGCTGCCCTCTGCACTCTGCTGATGAAGCCAGTGCACAGCAGAAGGCTCTGCCGAGTCTCCTTACCAGTCTGCATGCAGGTCAGCAATATTCGGAGAAAAAGCCACTTCAGGTACCAAAATGAGCTTCAAAACTCCAAAAACATGACTTAAAATACAGATTACATAAAAAATACATTTGTCATTTGTGGTAAAGGTACTAGAGTTATTCAGTTAAAGTAACTATTCTTCAATTTCTGTAAGTGATTATAAAAAATGTTATTGTAAAACGAGTGGCTTGAGATTCTTAGAGCAGCATCTTAGCAGCGGAAAGTGTCTGCCAACTGTTTCTACATTTTCCTTTATCTCTTTCAACATTCACTGTGACATGGGTACTCCCAAAAGTTCAGAAGAAGTGGCCTGGGCTAAAAAATGTGGGGAACCATCTCTCACGATGGGTACCGGGTGAGACCTACTTAACCAGTCTAGTAAGCATTGTAGCAGAGGCATATTCATAATAGAAACATATGCATCCTTTGTATTTTTCTAACAGCTTCTGAAGTGTTCATCAAGCTTGTCTGATTAAGCACTTTTAAATTCTGAGCAATGAATTTGTTCCTCTCATGCCCTCTTGGCAGGAGTGCAAATTGATACAGCCCTTTGGAGAGCCATTTGGCCATATGTATCAAAATTAAAAATGCATATAATCTTTGACCCAGCAATGCAATTTCTAAGAATTTATCCTACAGACTTACCCTCAGAAGTCTACAGAAGTGTACATAGAAGGGTGATCCTTTACAGTTCAATTTATTAGTGAAACCCTGCAAGCAACCCAAGTCTATCAATAAGGAATTATTAGTTGAGTAAACTGCAGGCTACCATAAGATGAAATACCAGGTAGATATTAAAAAGAATGAGTCAAAGCCATATGTACCACCAGGAGAGAGACACACACACACCAAAATAACTTGCAGAAAAATACATTGCCATTTTTATTCAAATGATTAAGAGTGGCGACCACAGTGGAGGTCTCTGGCCAATCAGTTCTTGGATTCCTAAATTGTATTAAAAACCTTGAACTCTAAATGAAATAATCTGGGAGTCTCAATTCAATTTCTGAACTCATCCTCTGTCCTTTCTCTTCCCTAGCATCAAAGAATAACTAAAAAGTAACTCAAACACAAATGTAAGACTCCATACCTAGTGGTCACAGTATGTAAATGATACTTTTGAAAAGTAACCCTTCCAGGCTTAGAAAAACCATTCGTCAAAGGAGAAACACGAAAGGCTGGTTTTTGATCACAGTAATCACATGGCTGTGCTCATCTTCTCTTGTTTATATATTCAAATCGCACATATTGAAATTGTGTATCTTGAGTTTATATATTCAAAGACCACTGTGGCATCTCCCCCACAACACCAGCCTTAACATCCAGGCAAGCACTGCGGTTCTTAAAATATTCAGCTGCATCAGCTGAAACTCCCAAGTCCCAGAAGAGATTGTTTGTGGGTTTGTTTGTTTTTTTATCTTTTTCTTTATTGATTTGTAGAGAGAGAGGGAGAGAGAGAGAAACATCGATGAGAGAGAACATCGATTGGCTGCCTCCTGCATGCCCCCCCTGGGGATCGGGCCCATAACATGGGTGTGTGCCCTGCCCGGGAATCGAACTGGCGACCTGTTGGTGCATGGGTCGATGCTCAATCAGTGAACCACATTGGCCGGGAGAGACTGGGTTTTTAATTGTGGGTTTTCCAAATGTTGCAAGCCAGGTTTGATTTTTATTTGTAATGGCACAGATGCCCAAAGCAAAGGCAATTTCCAAGGAAATCAGTATTCGTGGCATGCCACAGGAAACTTACTCCTTTTAGTTTTACTCAAAATATCTTAAATAGCTTAGATCATGATTGTGATCAATTTTATTATATGTCAGTGATGTCCCTTCTTCCTCTCTTCCATGAGAGGACTCCACTTTCCTGCGCACTTGAGGTTGGGTTTGGTGACGTGTCTGGCTTTGGCCAGTGAGAAGTGAACGGAGACGTGAGCAGCAGCTTTAAATGAGTGTGCGTAGACTGCACTCGGCCAGGCACGGACGTTGCTTAGGGAAGCTGTCAGTCCAGATGAGGAAACACTGGAACCCACTGGAACGCAAACTGCAACCTGGACCCAGGCCCAGCTGAGACTCTAGAGACTGGTAGTCCCATAAGCAATACAAGTTTGTTGTTGTAAGCTTTGGGAGCTATTATTCAGCATTATTGAAGCAAAATTTGATTAATACGTAGGTGAACAGCCTTGGACCCATCACTTAACTTTACCAAATCTTGTCATTGATCTCCTTTTTGTTTCTGGTCTCTTTTTGCCTTATAATAAGTCATGTCAGAAACATTTGAGGGTCCTCTTGGTACCCTTCCCCAATCCCATCCATTCCTAGAGGTAACCACTCTCATGCAGTTAGTGTTATCATAGTCATGTTTGCTTTAAACATTTGCTATACATTTATATATCTATAAACATGATCTATTTATAGAAAAACCAAGCTGCGCATGTCCTCTGCACTTCACTTCTCACCACCCCCACACTGAATTTCGTATTTACCCTGGTTGACATGTTGGTCCTAGTCTACTGACTTTATCTACTGTAACACTGTCTGTATATACCACAATGTATCTATTCTCTGTTGGTGGACATTTTAGTTATTAAATATGAACAGTGTTGCAAGGAACATTCTTATACACATCTTTGAGTTTCTTGCTTTTCTTTAAGACTAACTTTTCTGTGGAATCAATAGACATGTGCATGGCTGATTGAACTTCCACAATCTGCAAGGTCAGTTTAGCCAACAGTTTGCTCAAGACTCTCCTCCAGACTCTCGCTGGAGCTGCTCCCCAGGAGGAGCCCACAGTGCCTGGGGCCTTGGGCACCTCTGATCTCCACTACTGACCGCTGGCTGTGGGGCCAGTGCCCTGAGATTTCCTGGTCACATCTGCACGCACATTCTACTGCTCCTTCCACAGCTTACTCCCAATAAAGTGCTTCACACTTTATCTTTTTGATCATTTAATGATTTTAAGTTCCTGGTCAGGATTGAAATGTTGGCAAGAGAGTTGGAAACAGAGGAGTAAGTGAATGAAGACTGTTAATCGTCCTCTTTCTTCCTCACACAGCAATTTTTCTAACAGATGCAATTACATTCGAGAGCTGCAGAGGACGAAATCTTATGTTTTATTTCTTTATTCATCATTTACAAATGGGATTCACTGTAAAAAGGAAATTGCCTTTGTAGTTCTGTTCTTCAGGCTGGAGTGCTCTGAGCTTCAGTTTTTATACCAGCTGCCGCCACCTTGTATCTGGCGAGTAAGAAACAGCCAGAGAAGGAGGCTAAGAAATCAGGCAGAGTTCAAGTTCATTTAGATTCAATATATTTTTATTCTTTGTAAATACAATGGGTACAACCTTTTAACTTCACAAATCAGTTAATTCACTCTGTACAAGAAAAGTTTTACTCAACCTATGATAGTCCAAGTGCTGAATATTTTTCCTCAGTGCTAGAACCTACTAAATCAAAATGTGAAAAGTACAGCAGCTATTTTAAAATGTTTGTCTCTACATTTCCATAAGTATAGATTCATACCAAAGGAGCAGCTTATAATGTAGAATGGCGTGTGTGTGTGTGTGGTGGTGTGTGTATGTGTGTGTGCATGCATGCACACATTCAAGGCTTTACTAGAAACCAGTTTTCTGAAAGGCATTTAAGAGTCTCAGACTGTTAGTGGATCAATCAGAATCTCTTAGTGCTCATCTCTGAAGTTCCTTCCAGCATCACGTCTGTGTTTGCTTCCTGTCCGATGTGACTTGCTGAAACACCAGTTTGGACCTCCATTGCCTTTGGTTTCAGCACTACTTTAATGGGACAGCAATCTGCCTCACTTAGTTATTCACCTCCAGTTTATTTGGTTTTGCTGTTTTTATTCTTCCTCCCTCGACTTTTTCTTTTAGTAAATCTCTTCTATTTTTGAGATGTTATCTAACCTGAAGTCCTGGTGAGAATTTCATTTTTGTCCACCAATTCTTTTGACAATATTGCCTGGCCTGTGATATATATATATATATATATATATATATATATATATATATATATAAGGAAAAAGGAAAAAGAAAAGAAGAACAAAAGAAAGAGAAAGGAAAAAAGAAAAAGCAAATCTCACAGCATACGCTACCTTTCACTTATTAACTCAGTTCTGAAGGCCACTTAATGATGTATTACAATAGAAGGGAAACTTTTCATAAAACTTTTGATTTTAAACCTCGCTATTATTTTTAAAATAAAGTCTCCATCATAAGACAGTTCTCAAGGCTGCTGCATGGTGTTATACACAGAGCTATATTTGGTTACCCAACTTTATATGCTAAGAAGGCAAAGAAAGTTCTACGTGTGTTTCAGCGTGTGATAGTTCAGACGGATCTTCCAGCTGAGAGGCAGAGAGGCACGGCCCGTGGCAACCCTCCCCCTGGCCCCGCCAGAGCACGGCAGCAGCCAGTCCTCTGCTCAGGCCAGCCTGTCACAGCTCCTTTCCTTCCAGGCGGCCCTACCCTGGGTGAGGTCAAAGCTACTGGAACTGTTGTGTGTCAATGGACATTTTCTCCTGAAGGCTCCACACCCCCAGAGGTATGCTTCCCAAAGGGTTTGTTAGTTGAGGCTTGTTCTCCACGGGTAGAAGTTCATCAGATACTGCCCCGTACTGAGAGGTGGGGACTTGAAGAACTTAGATATCACTGGATTTGTACATATCTGAAAGCAGTCTTGTAATTGGCACGTTGCCAATGGTTTTTTTGAAAAACACCTCTTCTATGGTTGATGGGCTAATAGAACGTAAAGCTGGCAAAAGCAACAGAAGTTTTCCAAAGCGACAGGGTTGAGTGGGATATCTGGAATAGGAGAAGCCATGAAAACAAGGTCAGATCTGTTACCACTGGGAATTGCTATTCATTCTTGAACACACACCATCTCCAGCATAATTTTCTGATTGGGCCTCTCTAATACCACCCTACTCCTGCAGCAAAGTCCCAGAGGAGCTACTGTCCTCGTTCTGCAAGAATAATCCAGGCCTGGAGAACACAAATGATGTCAAAATCACATGGTGACTGTATCAACATTAGCAAAGGGCTTGCATTTTGTTTGGAGGGAAAAAAGTAAGAAACATGGTACTAAGTTTAGGCTAAATAATAGACATAAGGGTGCCAGGGTCGTAGCTGGTGGTAGTATCCATGCTTTCTGATTTTCAGGGCGCCTTCCTTTGCAAAGCAATTTCCCTCAAATAAAATGGATTCCTTTTCTAGGAAATTCTCCAAATTATTATTCAGGCATTATACTTAGTCGCTTTCAGGAATAATTCTGTCCTTATTACACTGCAAATTAAAGACTAAGTTCTGTTGGGTGGCAGTGCCACCCAACTTTCATGTCAATGAAATTGACATATAATTAAAGATGTGAGAAATTGCCAACAATTTCCTCTCTTAATGTCCAACACATATCTGTGCTTAGATGTGCAAGTTCAATTTTCTACTGCCTTCAGAGGCCTATAACCCACCTCCTCCCTGCAGCCCTGATACCTCTTCAATCAGTAGTTTGGCACCAGGTATCCATACACTCCACAGGGAGGCTCCCTCCACTGAAATGAACCTCCTCAGAAAACTGAGGTCTGGGGTCACATAACTGTGACTGAGCCAGGCTCAACCAACAGCCACCAGGTGTTAGAAACCGACGGATATCAAAATTCCTCCCCAGGAGTCGGGTAGCTGATCACCGAGTTTAACTGCCCAATAACCACCCTGAAAACAGCATGCAGGACAGCATGTCCCGTCCTCTCCCGGCTCTGAGCACACGAGGCTCCCTCTGTTCTACTGACAGGAGGCTGCTGGTTCATTCTGGGCCTCTGCGAACCCATTTCACTGCCCAGCCTCATGAGCACCCATGGGTGGGGGTCACCACACCACATTTAATAATGTAGTATGGAAATGGGGAAACTTATCTACATTTTTTTTTTTAAGCCAAAATCCCATCACTTACTTACTCTCTTTGCTAAAAGTATTTCCTACGTTTCCTGGAAAGATATCCCAAGTCCCACATCTCCCTTTCACCTTGGCCACTTCCTTCCTTCATTGGCCCTGGTTCCTGTCCCAGGATCGGGCAAAGGAAACAGAACCCCGCAGTGGGCAGCGCACAGCGGCCGCCTGGACCAGCCTCCACCATGTCTGCAGCATCGACTTACTGTGCTGGAAGTTCCCACGGTGAGAAACCACTGTGGGAAAGGATTACTTTTAAAAAGGGTGGATTTTGGAGAATCCATAGACAATGAACTCTTGATTTTTTTGTAAATAAATAATCCACTCACCTTCTCACCCACTTCTTTTATTCTCTAGTTAGAAGGGGCTGGTTGGTCAGTCAACAAGAATTGTCTATTATATGTGAAGTACTGTACTACTGAGAAATAATAACAATGTGTGTACAGTATGTGCATGTGTGAGAGAGAGACACAGAGAGGGTGTGTGCCTCTGACGGCTCAAAATTATTTTTTTAGAACAGCTATGCCCCTGGTTTCATCCATTAGCAAAAATAGCTGGCAGTTTTCTCTCAGGTGTGTTTGGAATCTGTCACAGATCCTCACATTTGATGTTCAGTGATAACATATGGTTTGTGAGAAATGCCGGTTCCTAGCCTCCTCCTTATAGCATAGATAATTAGAGAAATAGCTCACAGAGCTGTAACAATGAACTCAGTTGGCAATGTTAACAATTAATGGATAATTACTTGTTTGCTATGTTAACTTTTCATTTCGATTTCAGATTTTATTTTCCTAGACAGGGAAGTGCTAGAGGAGAATGCTCCCTGATGGGAAGGAGCTAAGCAGCAAGGCATAGTCAGTTTTGTCACATGCGTGAGTCTAGATGTTAATATTAAATTTTATCTGTAGCAGATATCATGAAACAAGAATTCCATGTCAAAGCAGATGAGTTTCTTCCATGAATAATTTCCTTATTTTGAGGGTGAGGGAGAAGTAATATACTTGCTGTTTCTTTAAAATAGACTGTTGTTGATTTCCGGTTTATTTCTCTCAGGCTCTCTCTGATTCTCCCAGTGGGTCACCTCTCTGGCACCTCCCACAGTCCCTCTCCCAGCCCCTCTACCGGCTCTAAAGATCACCCCCCCCTGCCCCCCACCATTCAAGGACACCAGTTCCTGTGTTGTCTCCTCCATCAGTCAGTTTTTCCAGATCCCCCCTCACCCCACCTCCCCAAACTAGAATTCTTCTCCCCCACTCCCCACTTTGCATTTTTCTCTTCTCTGGTCGGAACTGGAGTAAGACTTCTACGTATTTCATGTACTGACAAGGGGCAGTGTCTTGTTCTCTGGTCCCATGAGGCTCACCAGCAGCCCTGCCCAGAGCCAAGACTCAGCGGAGGCTGGACTAAATCAGTAACAGGATATCCTATTCTTCTTGTCCTTTAAACTTTAATGACTCTGTCAAAGGTTAGTTCTAATATACAAATTAATTTTAAGGGAGAAAGTATGTACTGCTCTATTTTGTGATTTCGAACAAATATTCAGTGCCTATCATATACATACTGAATTTTAACGTGGATTTTAAATGTACTTTAGAAAAGCACACACACATTGCACCATCACGTGACAGTTTCAGTGATATTCCATGAAGAGGGAACAGTGTTATTCAACAGTATTCAAAAGAGGATTTGTAATACAAATGAGGAGGTTCTAGCAGAAGTGGTATTACTCCAAATGGATACCGTTGACTTGGGGGTTCTCTGACCTCTCACAGAAGAGAGGCATTAACGGTCTCTATTCATCAGATTTAGTTATTCCAGCACAGTGTCTGTGGTGATACTGAGATGATAGAGACAGGCTTCCATGGGCTTCTCTTTAAGACCAACCTGGAGAATAAATAAGAATAGCAACTCTATTCTAACCTCAGATTCACCACAGAGCTAGCAAGTTTCCACAGCTCTTTAAAGCCTTGCTTTTTCCCTCTGAAAATGGAAACAGGACGTCTGTACCTCCTGTGGACTTGCCCACTGGTGTGGGCCAGGAGTGTTGCTGAAGCCCCGTGGCTGAGAGTTTCTACAAACAGACAAGAACGGCCTCTGCCAATGGGACCTGCTAGGCAGACATAACCTGGTGGGTGCTATGACCCCAAGTAACTTAACAGATACCAATCAGCAATTATGATGGGGATGAAGATGGCCTCTCTAGAAAGTTCTCGGGTCCTTCTATTTAAGGTTGGCATCCAAAAAGGGCACTTGCCTTTTCTAAAGGATGAATTGACTATGCTCTATTATATCAACTACAGACTTCATTTTTTACCTTTCCCACATCTGGGTCCATTCACACAAATGTGTTCAACTTTTTTTTTTATCCTCATCCAAGGACATTTTTCCATTTTTTGTTCAGATAGAGTGGGAGGGAGAGAGGGGGAGAGAGAGAAACATCGATGTGAAAGGGACACATCGAGTGGCTGCCACCCACACGACCAACCAGGGCCGGGGACAAACTGCAACCGAGGTACACACCCTTAGCGGGAACCGAACCCGGGTCTCTCTGGACCGCAGGCTGACACTCTAACTACTGAGCCAAACTATGCATATCAATATCTATTCGATTGTCACTCGAATATATCTGATTCCATGTAAACTGGGCTGTGTTCAACTATTTTGATGGATCAGCTTCCTCCACCAGGTTGGCTGTAAGGCCTCCGGCAATCTAATTGACAATCTCATTTGATGTGCTCCTCTCACCCACCTGGTGAGGTAGGTGAGGCCACAAATTCTAAGTCACTTCACTGGCTGGCAACAGAAGAATTAGTCACGATGCTTGGACTATTACCCCTGCTCACACATTCACAATGCACGCACTTCTGAGGACACGTTCACGGCAAGCACGAGTCACCTGGTATGGATGTAGCTGTTGAGCGTTAGCTGAGCCTCGTCTTGAAGAGCTGCAATGGCAGCAGCATTCCGGAAACTTCTCAGTTCAGAACCACTGTGTGTAGGAACTAGAAATGAAGAGCAGGACATTGTGAAAAGCAGCACAGGAAATGCAGGTGGGGAAGCACTCCCTGAAGTGGATAGCCAACAGGAGACACACAGGTTCCCGTGGCTATCGAATGGGGCCAAGCCAAGAGTCTCGGCTCCCTTGAAAACTACCCCTTGTTTTTGCAAAGGTTTAAGTCTGGACTTGGAGGTGGCTGAATTAGTGAGGCAGCAAAAGTGGGGAAGGAGAAGAGACAGGGATGTGTGTCTGCTTACCAGCTTTGAAAGTGACGATGCATTTTAGACAGGCAAATTCAGTAGCATCTAACCGGAGTTGTCTAAACCGAGCCACCACCTCTTGTAAAGCCTGTATTTCAGATATGATCTTGTTCAGCTTCTGGGAATCTGTGTTGTCACCATTCATGCCTAGAATAAAAATATAAAGTAAATGCTGTAATATGCAGGCATTTTCATAATTTAATATTGATTTTTGACAAAACTATGCATATCAATATCTATTCAATTGTCACTCGAATATATCTGATTCCATGTAAACTGGCTAAATTGTATGAAAGTTAATATAAAATCTTCTCTTGGATGATAACAAACACAGTAATTTGCATTTAAATAACAATGCAAGCAGTCATGAATACAACAAAACAACATTATTTGCATTTAAATATAGATTTATAAATGACAGGTATACTCTATTGTTCAGCAGGAATTTGTTATTCTTTACAAGTTGTTCTTTTTTCAGTAATGTATTTTTATGGTAATTTCTACAACAAAGTCATTAAATTGTGCAATTCTTACCAGATACAGCCAGTAGAGTGTTAGCATCAACCGGAATGGCCCATTGTGCTATTCCTAGAACAAACAGTTCTCTCCAAGCATCTTCCAAAAGCATCAGCTGTCATACAATAGATGTATAATATAATATAGTGTGTAATTTATAAATTTATAAACAATTCCAATATGTAAATTTCCATTATTTTAAAAAGTGTTTTAAATGCCTGTCTTGGTCATTTTTCCTCTGAATGTTCTAGCTTTCCCTTGTTTTCCTTTTTCAAAAGGTGCCTATAGATAAGCACATGCATTTGAGAGTCAGCCATTCTAATCCTCCAAAGTTTGCTTCCCTTGGGAAAGGGTTTACCCTTCTGGTGCTCCCATCCATCTATTTCTGACCACCTAGAAATGTCTCCCCAAGACTTCATGAAATGCCACCAGCTCAGCAGGTGGATCCCCCTCATACAAAATGCTGATATTATCAGGGTTGAGGGTTCCAGACCAAGACTGCAGATCTGGGCCCCCATCTCCCTGGCGTGTATAGGGGGCTGGGCTGGGGGAGGGAGGGAGGGAGAGAGAGAGAGAGAGAGAGAGAGAGAGAGAGAGAGAGAGAGAATATCTCACTAATTCCCAAGAGGCATGCAGGGACACCAGGGTGTAATTATGTTAATTGGGCTTTGCTGAGTTTACCTCGGCTCACTGCCTGATTTTTCTGAGACTCATAAATGGACAGCATCAAGGTGCTTGTCATTTTCATTCTAATAAATATGCTATTGAATATTTAAAATGAAAATCTGGCTCCTTTTCCAAATAAATATACTGAATTCCACTTCACTGCAGTTTGCTAGTTGTTGAAGGGTTTTCATTGAAGGGCTGAGTGGCAGACAGTAAATAAATTTTGTTTGAATTAAAAAGTCCACAAATAATTGTTTTGAGAAAAATGGACAATTCACACACACACACACACACACACACCCCAAATGATTACAGCTAATCAGTAAACCTGGTCAAAAATAGAACCTAACCATCCTGAAAAATCTTTCTTGAAAAAAATCTATAAAAATTTAGCCAATTATGGATGACTTGTGTGAAAGGATTTCCTTTAGGAAGCTAAGACCTAAATTGTGAAGGCTTATAACCAAAATCAAAGGTTTAATTTCCCAAATGGTTTATTTTTAGTTTATTGCATTAAGTACAAAAAATAATAACTTAAAAATGCAAGGAAAACAGTATCTAATTCTGGCCATATCTGAAAGTCCAGGTCATGAAAAAAGAACATTCCATGCTAGAAGATTAGATGTTTTTAGCACATTGCCAGGTCTCTCTGTTGGAAATATACTTCATATTAAGTGGCACTATTATTCTTTAATTAGGTATAAAATGAATTAAAGAAATAAATCCTTTGCTTTTAGAATTACTTATTAGCCTTTGGGGAGATTTGTCATTAATTCCCATGAATGCATTGGTAACAGCCAATGGTTAAGAACACTTCATTTTCGTCCTTTCCCTTAAGTTTAGAAAAATTCTGGCAGAGGTCATTTCTGATGCTCCTAATGACAAAATTTCTGGGTTTGGGTATGATGCAGTTGTGAGCAGCACAAACGTTTACTGCCTCAGAATGTCATTTACAACCACAGAATTATGCACACTGCCTATTGGCTTACAAGATCTTTAAAAGCTCTTAATGAATCAAGGGAGAATTTAGCTGGCAGGAGGTGTACAACACACCCTTTATCCTACATGCTGATAAATTAGTGTATCACAGTAGAAAATATAAAGCTGTGAATAAAGACTAATTCCAAAAATCTTACAGGAGAATACTCTTCTAGTTCTCTCAGTTCCAATGTCCTAAGGAAACATTGTTTTATTAACAAATATAAAAATCATTAAGAATTTGTGACTAAACTTGGTGTTTCAATTAAACTTAAAAAAATAATAATGTCTTTGTTTGTTTTTCGACCTGAAATAAGATAATTACATTTCTTAGTAAGAATTCCATAGCTAGTTATTTTGAACTTGTAGAAAGAAGCTAGCAAAATTAATTTCCTCATTGCTCTTAAGAACTGATGCCTGACCTTGGTGATTTATCCAGGTAACCTATAGTTTCATAAGGCTGACTTTGTTGCTTCTTCCCAACTTCCTTCCCCCAAGATCTCAGGGCCCTCTTGGTCATACCTGGTCTTGCAAAGACAGGGTGGAGAAAGCTGGTACACTCTTAGCCCACTTGATGCTCATAAACAGAAGCCTGGCAGCTGATTCACACACTGACTCTGTGGCCACTTCATAAAGATACATTGGGGTCCCATTGACTTCATGGGGGTACTGGGTGGGGAAGAAACAGACACCAGGGTGTGAGGAAACCACAGCTTTGCAAGGAGAGCCGATTTTTTCCTTTTCTAATTTGAACAGGGAAGAAGGTAGGAATTTGGATGTTCTGCTTAAATGGGCAGTTGCCATAAGGGCATAAAAACCAAAGATCATAACGATGGAGTTTGGAAAATTGTTGGGAGAGACCCAGTTCCACACTTTGTGGGCCTGTTCCTTCCAGAGGGGCATCTGGCTTTTCTATCCCCTATAGCAAATTTTCCTTGGGCTGAGCCAAGTGCCAGGCCTGTCTCCCAATTTAGACAAGAGTTGTTTGCATTTGTGTAAATAGAAATAGATGTGAAAAAAGTATAAATTAATAGGCATCCCAAACACAAATATGCATACGAGTATTTTTAGAAAGGATTAGTATATTATGGAAATATTTCAATTAGACATCTTAATCATTCACAGAGCATTCCCATTCATAACTGACAACATATTCATAACACTACTTTCCCAAGCTTATTACACACATCAAGGGTAAGGAAGCAATATTAAATATTGTGCATGTGTGTGTGTGTGCCCAGGTGTTTGGGCTCCCTGCAGTGTGGGGTGCAGCTGGCCCACCTCTGGGGGAGATCCAGAGCCCTTTTTGGCCAGGAGTGGGAGCTGTGCTAGGTACCAGCTGGAAGACTGAAGGGTAGTCCCTAGGTGGAAACCTTCTGGGGTGGTCCTGGCTGTGGCCCGGCCAGTAGAGGTTCAATCCTGGTGTAAATCCATGCGGTTCAGAAGAAAGTGAGGGGAGAGTGGGAATGCAGCCAGGTTCCTCAAGCTGTCCCAACAGGGTGAGTTCCACATTCCTCTCTTAGGTTGGGGATCCATAGCTTTACCCAAGAGAACAGACCCCTGAGATTTGCAACTCCAGGATTCTTCTGCCAGCTGAAAGCAACTCCTTCCTTTTCAAAGCACACATCTGCTCTTCTGGCCTTCAGGGGCGTTCCTAGGCTGCCCTCTCAGTTCAGAGAGGGCTCCACCCCAGGGCGTTTTCCAAAGGTGCAGCTGCCCCCCCCCCCCCCCACATCAAACTTGAAGAAAGGGGCTATCTGGGGAGTGGGCCCAGGAGTCCACATTTGTAGCGAGCGGCTCAGAGAGTGACTTTACTGCCCCTGAAGTTTGAGCAGCCTTGGATCAACGGAGGAGCCCAAGGGCCCAGAGCTCCGTGCAGAGTTCTACCAGTACCCTGCGAGGTCTCTCCATCTTTTCTGCCTGACCCCATCCCAGTTCAGAAGAGCGGTGCCCCTCTCTCCTCCCTCCATTCGGCATGGGACTCCCAGCAAGGCCACTGACCTTGGGCGTGGGCTGAGCCAGGCTCACGAGGGTCTGCCGCTCGGGAGTGGCCGACACCGCGGCCAGCTCTAGGCCATGCGGCTCCAGTTGCGTGACAGCGGTGAAGAAGGCCGGAGCGGGCAGCGCTGCCGAGGGGAAGTGCGCGGCCGCCCCGTTCTCCTCCTTGTGTCCACGGAAGTAGAGGGCCACCTGCTTGCGGATGGTGGACGTTCGAGGCCCCCGTTCGTGCTGCACGGCTGCAGAGACAGACGGACGCACGCCCGGGATCAGAGTCTGCAGGGCCGAAGGCCGCGGCAGGGTAGGCAAGGTCACCCGAGAGGGGAGGGAGGAGAGGGAATGTGGGAGCCAGGGCGCTCTGAGATAGGTTGACAGCCACGTTGTATGCTTTAGGGAGGCCGAGGAGAGGAGCCCGGCAAAAAGTATCAGGATAATGACACGCCTCTTGCAAGACTAGGTGTGTTTTCTGTCCGTTCGGGGCTCCTCCCCACACAGAGAAGGTCTCAGGCACACAGAGAACCCTCTGGGAGGGAAAAATTAGTTATCCTGATCCACAACCAAGGGCAGAGGGAGGCACTACGTCTCTGCGCAGACTTTTCCCGCTCGGCCCAGACAAGGCTGCCGCCACCTCCACCCCACGCCCACGTGTAAACGTCCTTTGGCCAACGAGGGCCGCAGGAGAAAAGGACCTGAGCCCAGAGACGCTGGGGGATGGGACAAGGGAGAGCCCATCTCAGAGTGTGCTAGAGGAAGGCAGGGGAGATGTGACAATTACCACCAACAGTTTAAACAAACAAATTAATTCAGGGCAATCTTCCGCTTGCCTAGCTTGACAACTTGTCAATACACAAGTTCAACAGGTTGGACGCTCCCTCCTGCTTCCCGCGCCGCGGAGGGAAGAGCTCTCTCCAATGGGCACTGTGCCTCCGAGAGCTGCCACCTGGGCCGCCACTACCAATCCCACTCCGCACCCTGCGCTGAGTCCCCATTCCTTCCTCCCGGCCCTCACCGCCCCGGCCTGGGGCGCCCTCACCAGGTCACCACCTGGCATCCAGAAGTCCTAGTTCTTGCTGCGCATGTCTAAGAGCCTTCTGGGAGTTGGGTGTCCGAGACAAACTCACAGTCGTCCCCCAACCGCTCCAGCCCCTTTCTGTAAAACCGAGAGAAAGCCCTGGAAAAGTCTAGATCACCACAATGGCGGTCTAGATTTTGGAATCTTTTGAATTTGTGATCCTGTCTCTACCCTTCCTCTTTTCATACATCCTCTCCTAGTCCTCAGGATCTCCTTGTCCCCCGAAAACTATCCAGACTGCTAGATCCTGCAGGAGGCTAACAGGATTGGGGGTGGCCACGAAAGATCTGTAAGGAGAGGTGAAGTAAGGAATTAAGACGTGGCCAGTTTGGCTCAGCGGTTGAGCATCGGCCTGCGGACCAGAGAGTCCCGGGTACGGTTCCTGCTAGGGGCAGTACCACAAAAAAAAAAAAAAAAAAAGAAAAGAAAAGAAAGAAAGAAAAGAAAAGACGTGAGGCAGGAAATACAGCGTGTGTCCCCAACAGAGTAGGGTCCCCGGAAGCGCTGCCTTCTTGGGGTGGTTGTGGGGCACAGGTTTCCAATGTGGGCATGGGCCATGCCGGGATTTCAAGGGGGTAGGGAGGCAGCTCATGCTGAGAGATGGGGAAGGCTACGACCGAAAGCCCGAGGCCACTCCGAGCATCCAGAAAGAAGTGCTCCGGAGTGCCAAGTGTTCTCTGTACTTGTAATTTACTTATTAACCAACGCTAGAAGAGTAAAAGGATGTACTGATTACCATCTTTGTTCATGTTGACTTCCAAACACTTCTTGAGCCGACAGGCCCTGCACTGGTTTCTGTGCGTCTTGTCCACTGGGCAGCCTCCCTGGAACAGAGCGCAGGCTGTCAGCAACCCCTGGGCCTTTAGACCGGTGACGCAAAGCCGGGGCTGGGTCGGGGAAACCCGCGTGGAAGCGACAACAGACCTTGCCACCCATACCTAGGTCCGCGAAGCGAGGTCCTTGGGCACCAACAGGGCCAAGTAGAGAAAGGGCTGGGATTCCCGGGGCTACCTAAGAGAACCAACCTACGACCCTATGAAAGCGGACAAGTTGGAAAACCAAGCAGGTGAAGGGCCACAGCACCTGGTTTGCCAGACTTTTGCTGTGCTGGGAGAAGCAGCTCCCGAGGGGAACTTCCGCCAGTGGAGAAGGTGACTTTTTCAGGACCGAAGACAGCGACCTGGCCTCCTAAGAGGAGGCCTCGGCACTCCGCTGGGAGCAGGTTAGCCTGGAAGAACCAACCCCCACCCCCACCCCACCCCGCATGGCCCCCTCCCGCTAGCTATATTTCCACTTCAGGTCTTAGTCTTCCTCTCTCTTTCACTTTCTGGGTTAGCCCATTTATCTGTGAGACAAATATCTCCTATTTATTCTTTACTCTCCTGTTTTCTCTTGCCTTTGTACTGAAAGCCATCCTTATAACCTGCCTTGCCTCAACTCAGATCCATGGACACACAATCATTCTCTGAAGTTGAGGCAGAAGCCAGAGTGGTTGGGAGAGCAGGGGCTACAGAGGAAAGGGTGGGAAGGGAAGAGACCAAGGCCTAGACAGAATCTAGAAATGCCCACCACGTAAATATGGCCAGGAAAATAATGTGATGAACTAACAAAATGCTAACATGGGCAGAGAATATTAATATGATAATTTAAAAAAGGAGGCAATTGCTGACTTAGAAATATTTATCTGAAACACATGAGAAAATATTTTACTTAATGCAATTTTATGGGAAAATATTGGCCACTAAAAGAGGAAATGTACAGAGAAATTTTCTTATGAAATTCATTCAGTGTTAGGTATTATTACTGAGGAAACACATACATAGATACCTAATGAGTTATATCCACATACATATTTTATACACAAAAGATACATTAGTTTGGTGCTCTCTTGTGTTTATATGAGCTGCTACTGTTAGATTTGTGATGAGAAGAAAGAGAATAAAGTAAATGTATTTTTATTTTGCTTCATAACACCAAAATATCATATATGCTGAAGTTGGAGTAAGTACATTTTCTAAAATATCCCTTAGGGATAATTACACATTAGCAAACACAGTTTCATGAAATCACACTCCTCTGATTTGAAATGTTGATTTATTTAAATAAAGATAGGGCAGGAGTTTGTAACAATTTCTAAATATCCTCATTGCTGTTAATAAGTTGGAATATTATTTACCTAAACTTAGAATAAAAGAGAGAACGGAGATATTTGTTTGTTCCTAAGTGAATTCTTCAGGGAATCTTTGCTGGCCAGTGTAATAGATCAATGTAAAGAGGCTTAAAGAACTTATTATTAAATGCAATCGTGTGTCTATCATCAAATGTTATTCTCCTAATATTCTGATAAACATGTTAATTCAAAAATGGAAGACTTCATTAGTTTTTAAGAGTGTCTTCAAATCAGATCATATGTATATAAATATCTGGTGCCAGAGAGAAGGATGAGTTCCTTAGCTTAGTCCATTTATTCTCTCTGCAAGAAGAGAACCACCAAGCCTGATGAGTCTGATACTTGGACTGACATCAGTATGAGATAGCCATCCCCTTTGAAAATATCAAGCATAACATCTGAGTTTGTTTGTTTTTTAAATCCTCACCCTAGGATATTTTTCCACTGATTTTCTAACAGAGTGGGAAGGAGGGAGAGAAAGAGAGAAATGTGGATGTGAGAGACACACTGATTGGTTGCCTCCCTCATGATCTCAACCAAGGTATGTGCCCTTGATGGGAATCAAACCTGCAACTCTTTGGTCCAGGGGTTAATGCTCTAACTGCTGAGCCAAACCGGCCAGGGCACATTTGAGATTTTAATTCCTCGATTCTGTGCATTGCATAAAAGTAAAAGATGATTTAAGTAGAAGCCTGTTTAAATTTGACAACCCACAGTAATCCCATATTCCTGTGGTGCTATTGGGATACAGTCTTGTGTGTATATAGTGTGATGTGTCCATATGGTAAAGCTAGAAACTGATATAGAGCTGTGAACCCAATTAAGCAAGTAACAGGGCTGGACAGTTCCAAATAATTTATCCAAATGCAGATGTCTTCTTGTTTTTGTTGATAATCCAAATCTGTCAGAAACTGATATAAGCAGACATGGCTTCAGAAAAAGAATTCACTAGCATCAAACGTATATGTGGATAATAATTATATGGTATCATATTTATACATATATGTTAATTAGTGAAAATGTTTTGCCATTGGTCACCAAAGGATGACTTTTGACTAATACACTCTCCAGGATCTTATCTGGAGTCAAGGTGGTTGCTCTGTGCTGAAGGGTCTGTGTGCTTGGCTAAGGAGATGGCAAAGTGTGGGACCAAAAGGCTGATCCCCTAGATTGAAATAAGCCTATTACTGGCTGGAAAATGAGTCAGGAGTGTTCTGTTCACTTTTTCTGGCATCTTTGGCTCACACTCAGCCCATGCCCTGACTCCCCTGTTTCTCTGAGAAAGTTGAGCCTGCCCAGGGCCAAAACACAACCAACCAGGCACATCTTCTAAGCCATCGGTTCTCAACCTGTGGGTCATGACCCCTTTGGGGGTCGAAGGACCCTTTCACAGGGGTCACCTAAGACGTAACAGTAGCAAAATGACAGTTATGAAGTAGCAATGAAAATAATTTTATGGTTGGGGGTCACCACAACATGAGGAACTGTATTTAAGGGTCACAGTATTAGGAAGGTTGAAATAATCTAAGCAGAGAAAGAGGAGATATGGGGGTCTGGGAGAAGTTCCCAGTTACTTCTTCCTTGGGAAGCCTTCTCTTCCTGCTCACACTGTCCTTTTCTGACAAGGCCCAGCTAGAGTCAGAGCAGCCCTGAGTATCCAATGTTGAAAGGGCACAGCCTCTCACAAAGCACATGCTCTCTTGTCCCATGGCTAACACTCACTCAGAGTCTCAGCCTTGACTGGGATGCGCTGTGCCTTTTACTTCAAGGCACTGAGCTACTGGGAATGCAGATGTGGTGGACAGACAGCACAACATAATAGCCCTTTCTCTGGCCCACACTCGAGGTTTAGATTCTTAAGTCCCTTAAGTCCCCTGGGCTGGCTTTATAATCACTGGGTGTGGGCCTTACTCAGTGTCAAAATCTGTCTAAGGATTGAAATATTTGCCAGTGGGGAGGGGGGCGCTGGGATCTCAGACTTCCTATTGCAAACTCACCTGTCTTTCCTTACCCCACCCCCCTTCTGCCCCACTTTGTCCAAGGGAAAGGGCCTCTGAGAGGTGAGTCAGGAAAGAGAGAGGACTGGAGAGGTCAAGATCTGGTCTCTCCTGAGCAGCTTGGAATCTCAGAGGAGCCCTTGGGCACAAACCAAGGAGGGGAGGCAACAGAGGGAAGTTTGGCAATGGCGCCTGGCTAAAGTACCTGGTTTCCAGATTTGCAGACGTACGTCCTATTCCTTCGGATACTCCGTTTGAAAAACCCAGAGCAGCCGTCGCAGGCGTAGACCCCGTAGTGTTTGCCCGAGCTGCGGTCGCCACATACTTTACAGGGGATATCTAAAATGCGGCCTGAAATCACAGAAAAGACAGGAAAGGGGGGAAGGGGAGAGAAAGACAGGAGGGCGGAGGAGAGGGAGGAAAGGGGAGAGGGAGAGAGAGATGCTAAGCAATCTGACCTCTGAAGGGATTAGCACCGAGGCTGCGGTAAAAGCAAATAATGAAGTGATTTTATAGCCAAACTTTTTTTCCTTGAGCAAGTGTCAGTTTCCTACAATGAGCATTATTCATGCACCGCTACATGTATTTGGGTCTCCTCTAATCGCCCAGACCCATTTCGGAATAAAAGATTACCGCAGACCTAGGCGGCGGCGCGGCCCGCCGCTGCCTTACTGCTCTGCGGAAAGTTTGGCCGCCTCCCTCCCCCGCTCCTGCATTTTACAGAGAAAGTTGCTAGTGAGCGCGCGAGGAGACAAACTTGAAATGTAAAAGGGGAAAGAAGAAAAACAAACACTCTGGAACCAGGGATGGCAGCTGGAAGGCAATCGAGTTTTCTCTGAGCTGCCGGGCGGTTGTTATTATCAGGATTATTATTGTAATGCTAATACTAGGATTATTAATGATAATAAGGGTAGTGGTAATTGCCCAACTTTCGCTTTACCTATTTTTTTTTTTAATGCTTGATGGAACGCTTTTGAGAAATCATTTCTTTTAGGAAAAATATTCCTCCCCAAAGTAACTAGCACTGGGCGAGGCAAGTAAGGGGGGAGTGATCAAAGCGTGTGGCAGGTTCGCGAGGGACAGCGCCTCTTCTTCCATCCCCAACTTCTTCCTTCAAGACTTGTCTCCTTTCACTGTATCCTCCGTTTTCCGTCGCTGTCTAAGGCTAATGTTTTAAAAGGTCTGACAGGTTTCTCTAGATGCCTCCCCCCCCCCCACACACACACACTCCTACTGGCTTCAACAGTCACCAGACGTGAGAACTTTCCCTGAAATCCCGTCGAGCCCAGGGTGGCCGCGGACTCAGAAAGAATGTAAGGGAGGGAGCCAGTTTTCTCTAACAGAGGAGTCCCACCAGCCTGAAGAGGTTTATAGGGACTGAGAAATCCTTCCTCCTACATACGAAGTATTAAAGTGTTAACTTAATTAACACTTTAATAATGATGATAGTTCATAATAATTAACTCCTTAACATTTAATTTTCCTTTGCTATCTATTCGAAGGCCTCCAGCCCGGGCCCCGCGGCCTCAGGCCTGGGTGAAACTTGACGGTCGCCCCCTCGGAGCTCTCAGGCTGGGTGAAGAGAGGCAGGGGTGAGAAAAACTGGACGAGGGGAGTACAGGTGGCGAGGGCGCGGCGTGGGGACGACCCCTGAGACGTGAGAGGTGGGAACGTGCTGGTAGATTCGTAGGCGTCCAGGCGGGAGCGCACCCGGTGCGGTAGCCTTGGAGGAGTGGCGACTGGGGGCCAGGGTGGAAGGAGGGAGGGGTGGAGGGGGAGGGAGGGCGCGGGAGGGGGGGCTCGGTAACCACCAGGCTCGGCCGGGGTAATTACAACCCCGCCGAAGCACCTGCCTATAGAGCCACCAGTGACCCGTCAAAAAGAGTAGCATGGGAATTCGGATGGTGACAAAGGCAAGCGGGGGAGGCGCGCGGCACGGCGACCACCGCCTGGGCGTCCCCACTCCTGAAGGGTGGGAGGAGAGGTTGTGTGGGGGGAGGAGCTGGAGAGAGAGCGGGATGACCACAGCGGGTCTGGTCCCTCACCCCCTCAGCCTGTCACGGCGCCCAAGGGAACTCAGGGCCACCCAGCAGGCCGGACTCGAGCTCAGCTGCACCGCCCTCAGTCCGGAGGCCGTAAATTTGGTTTCCATAATTTGCAACCATCCTCTTGTGCATAACACACGCCTTCTGCCTCAACTGGGGCCCACGTTTGGGGTCCCATCTTCCCAGCTGTCCTCTTCTTCCCTGGAGCACTTTTGATGATGTCAAAATGAGTGCACAGGAGGAGCAGTGGTGGGTTTTTCCCCCCCATTTCCCATCCAGACTGGAGGCCAGGGGCACACAGTCTAGAGAACCCAGAAGGGGTGGGGAAAAGACCCGGCTCCTGAGGGCGGGGTTCCACGACCGTAGCGCCCTCCCCCCCCTCCCCCGGGGCCACCACGGCTGCAGATCGGCCCTGCCTCTGCCTAGACTAGGGCAGACTAGAGACGGGCTACTCTCCTGGGGCGGGGCACAGCAGGAAGGGACGCAAAAATTCCAGGGCCTAGTCGGTCTGCGCCTCAGATTCTGCTGCCCAGCCACGTTAGGGTGACTTGGGGTCATGAGACAAGCTGATTGACCCCGTTGCAAAGCTCCTCATTTAACAAACCGAGCGAGCTCCGACGTGAGGCGAGCGGGTGTTTCCTGAGGCTGGAAAACCGTTCTTAACTTCCCTCACCAGGGGGTCCCCTCAGGGCTTTTTGTGTATCATAATTGCCTAAAGATATATGGCAGCTTCGATTACTGTAATTACCATCAGAGGCTGTTGAAAGAAGTTAGTCCAGGCTGCAGTGGTGACTGGCCAGGGTCTAGTTACCACCCAGGCGGGGCTCCGGGTTGACAGCGCTCTGCTCTCCAGCGGCGCAAGACGGAGCGAGGCGGAGGCTGCAGACCTCGCGGCCTGGCTCGGCCCTGACCTCGCCCGCTGCGCGCCGACCTCCTCGCTTCCCGGGGCCCGCGGGCCGCAGGTTTCAGGAGGGCTGCCGCCACCGCTCTGGGAGGGCCCGGCTGCAGCGGCGCCGCAGGCGGGGACTTCGGTCCTTCGGACCTGAGAAACCTCAGCAGCGGAGGCTGAACCTACGCAGGAGCTCGAGGCTTCGGATGCCAAACTCAGGCCCTTGGAATGTTGGAAAGCTCCAAAGTTTCCCCGTGATATCACTTTGCCTTTTCCCCCTAAAAGCCTGGAGGGTCCACTGCGTCCTAGTCCTCAGCATGCGGGCTGGTCCCCAGTGAACAAGCTTCGTGTCCGCCCCTTCTCTCGCTTCCGAGGCTTCGCCTTTCACGCATTCCCCCTCCAACCATGGCGGGTCTGTACCCCAAATGGATGCAAGAGTCTGAGACTCCTTACTTCCAAGGAAGGAGGCGAGGGGGCCTGTCAGGGCGAGCGAGCAGGGGGCCTGCCGAGGCCCGAGGGCTTGGGTTTTTGCAATGAGGCTCGGAATGCAACAGGAAAGGTTTCATTCTGCGCCTCCTGAAAAGGACCCTCACACGCGGGAAAGTGGGCCACAACAAACCAGCTTGCCTCCCTTTCCACAGTCGAACTGCCAGGCCAGAGTAGGCCCCAGGCTAGAAACGCCAGTCCTCCCCAAGTGTTGGCTCTGATGCAGACTGCAGTTAAGATTCCTTCTATCTTCCCTCTGCCTGGATCCAAATATTTCTCCTTTTCTCTTTTTGTTCACGTTCATTTTGCTCTAATTTTTAAAACAGCAGCACCCAAACCAAAGCAATCGTACAAAGTGAAAGCACAACCCACATTGGGAGGGGGGCAGGAATTGCATCTTACTTAAGTGGGACTTCACTATCAGTTCTCAGAAGTGTCTCTCAGACTCTGCCAACTTTCAGACTCACGACAAGGAGAGGGGGAGGGGGACCCACAAATTGAGGAAACCACAAATCACCAAAAACGCTACAGGTGAAAATAGCAAGGGCAGCAGAACTCCGGGACATGGGGACTGCAGTAGGGGCCACCCCCAGCCTTAGACCCTGGAAACAGCAGCCCGGGCCACCGGAAGGCGGGAACTGAAATGCCCCGGGAGATTCGAGCATTGCGGCCGCGCCCGCCCAACGTGGGCTCAGGCCAGCAAGTCCTCGGTTCTGCAGGCTCGGTGCACGCAGAGGCCCTCGCACGTCCACTTAGCCCTGCACTAGGGAGTGTAAGGGGCGGCTGGAGATCAGCCTTGGCTTGGCATGCCTAGGGACAGCCGTCAGCTAAGTTTGAAGGAGAGAGGCGCGCGAAGGGAACAGGCCGCACACTGCTGCCTCTGCCGAGCTCCGGCTCTAAAAGTCCTTGGGATTAGGGATTTGGTCCTCTCTATGCTAGAGCGGTTCGCCATACTTTAAATTCCCCAGTTATGCCCTACGCGGATTTAGGATTAAGGAAAATGTGACTTTTAAGTTGTTTCTGCTTCCCAGTTTGCAGGATTATTTGAAATAGCTAGAAACGGGGTGCAAAGCATTCCATTCAAAATCCGCTTTTCGCAGAGTTGCTTTTGGGCGCCGGAGCTCAGAGTTTTGAGCGGGCGTGTTATTGTGCTGCCGCCTGGAGCTGCGGCCTAGTTCCCGCCCCCATCACTTCCTCCTCCCCGCACCTGGCGGCGGAGTGGAGGTAATTCGCGGGACTGGTGGGCTGGCTGCATGGGTCGCAACCTTCTCACCTCACCAGAAAGAAGGGGGGATCAAGAGACTCAGAGGTAACAAATTGTTCTTCGCTCACCACGAAACGCTCGGACTCACGGTCTACAAGAAGCTCGGCCAAAGCACACACGCCAGTGGAGTACCTCTCCCGGGTTTGGAGCCGCTGTGCTCGGGGCAGGATCTCCTAGGCCTCCCCGCCCGCCCGCCCCAGGCTGCTTGCCTGAGCCCCGCGGCGGCCCGAAAGGTACCCACTTGTTGATCCGGCCGGCTTGCTCATGCTGGCGGTCCCGGGGCGGAGCGGTTGGTGGGCGCTGCTCGAGTCCCGGCCGACAGCGTCCGCCTCGCGGCCGGGCTCCGCCGCTCCCCAGCCGCCCTCCAGCCTGCGAGGCTCCCGGGCCAGACAGGTGGGTGTCTGTCGCGCGCTGCGCTGCTCCCTGGTGGCTCAGAATTCGTTCCACAGTGGAAATTTAAGCATTCTTAAGTTTCTTCCCGGTTCTTGCAAAACCGCAGCTGCTGAGAATGTTGCTTGATATGGACACACGCATGGACAGACAAATGCAGAGATGGACAGACAGATCGAGGAAGAAGAGAGAGAGAGAGAACAAGAGAGGGGTATTGAAGGACAGAGATGGAGACAAGAAAATGGTCTTTCTACGGAGCAAAAAGGGCAAAATTCCTCTCTTTCCCCATTCCTGTCTCTCAGTCTTCAATTTCTCCCTCTATATTAGGCATGCAGTGTGGACTGATCTTTACAGACTGCTGGTCTTCTAAGGAAAACACTACTGCAGTCTCAGGCAGATGGGCTCGGCGTTGCCCAAACCCGAGCGCTGAGTGGGAAAACTAGATTGCTGGGAAGTCTTCCGAAGGAACAGGCGGCCACGTCCTGGTTTCCGGGGAGAGCCGCGCTCGCGGCGGCATAGGGTCCCCGAAGTTCATTACCCCGTGACTTTGTGCCTGTCGCTGCGGGCTGGATCCCTTGTAATATCTCCAGAAGCGCTCTGACAGGCAGCCGCGGGGAGGGGAATAGGGCGTCCCTGGCCCACTTAGCTTTTCCCCCAACTCCTGGCGGGGTCTGACGTCAGCCATGTGCGGGGAGGGGATGGGAAGAAGGAGGGGGTTAAATGCTAATGATATTAATGAACCTCCAAGCGGCTCCCACAGAAAATGCAGGCGCTCTCGGAGCTGACGAGTTAGAGAGTGAATATTGGAGTGTGGCTCTGTGTGTGCGTGATGTTGAGGACGGTGCTGCTCTTGTAATAAAAATGAATTATTATATTTCATAGCAAGAGAAAGGGGGAGGGGAGATGGAGCTATCTCAAAAACGCTTTCCCCCTTTTCTCCAGAGTGCCAGACAGATTCGTGGAGGAAACGGGGTGGCTGTGTGTTTGGGTGTGATTGTGCGCGCCGGATGTGGCCATGTAAGTTGGTTCATTCTTGGTCCCGTGCCCCTTCTGTTGGGTAAAACTTGGATCTAGCCCGAGGTGAGTAATTATTCATTTGTAACTGTATATGGAAGGTTATAGCTGAGGATGCTGTGTGGGGACTTTGGGTCTGGGATGGGGTCCGTCCTAGGCTCCGCGTTTCTTCCGACTTCGTGCTGTCTGGCACCAGCCACGAGGAGGGTACCGCCGGCTTCACAAAGCAAAGCCCATCCGGAGCAGAGCGAAGCTCCTGTCACGTGCATTATCTGTACTGGAGCAGCGGGAGGGCAAAGCTTTCCCCCCAGCAGCTTGTCTCGGTCCGGGCTTTGCTGGCTCTCCCCTCCAGGCCAAAGGGTTCTGAGAGCTTTCCCGCCTCAGCACGCTCCCTCCGTCCCCGCCGCCGCGATTCTCTGCTCTGCTCCCTGCTCCGCACTGGGAGAGCGCACGGCAAGGGAGCCGGTGATTCCCGATCTCTAAGAGATTAATTCTTATTTAAGCTCTCTCAGCAGCTTGAACTTGTCGAACAAGGGCTTGCCAGCCTTTCCTCCGGGCGTAGGCCCGGCCAGAGGTCAGGGGTCACACCTCCCTCTCTCCAGCGCTCTGAGGCGCGTTTGGGGGGAGGGGAGGAGGAGGACCGAGATCAGCACTCTGCAATTCTCCCCGCCCACCCCGACTCCACTTTCTTCAGACTCGGTGTCAAACTGGGTTTTCGATCCGAGTGTGTACAAGTGAGTGCTTGCGCGTGTCCCCTCTCCCCACCCCCTTCCCCAGCCCCAGCCCTCAGAGGGCGCAGCGGATACTTGGCCACGGCGACTCTGGGGTGAGGGCTGTGCGCTCCAGTCCACGGCTGCAGCACGTGACAGCAACTTTCTGCAGCGGCCTAGGCTGGGCCTGGAGCGCCGGGCCGGCTGCACACACCACACACATCAGACCCCGCTGCCTTCTCTCATGTCCCGCCGCAAGCAGGGCTCGGGGCCTGGGGACAACCGGAAAGACTATGACTATCTCCCAAGTTACCCATCCTCGGTTTTTTTCCTAATTGGGATAGGCTTAGGAAATTGTGGGGCAAAGCCATTAACCTGAGGTTTTTGTTTTTATTTTAGGCGTCAGGACAAGAGATCTACATTTTTGACAGACGCCTGAGTAGCGAGTCCCACCGGCGACTTAGTGCAAACTCGAACTCCGTGATCAGAAAGGGAAGTTATTTCCGGGTGAGGTTTTAGAGACCCAGTTACTACTGTGGCAGGCTCCGGTCTGAAGCCTGGGGTTCTGGTTCTCACCAGAAATCTTGCTGCTGCCACCACCACCATCATCCTGTGGACGCAGTGCGTGTGAGGGGTTATGGACACAGAACTTCAAGAATCCAAATAATTTATCTCGGTTCAAGATGAAAGCTGGTGTCAAAAAGTAGACGTGGGCCTGGCTCTCAGGGAAAAGTTGAGAAGTCTGTGGTGAGAAGGAGACCTAGAAGCTGCTTCGCGGGTGCAGGGGTTTGCAGGTAGGAGGACTGTGGATCTTGAGGGGTCCAAACTACCACTTGTCCTACTCCCCAACACTGTCACCCTGCTGGTGTATTTGTAGGCATCAAAACTTTTGGGAAAGACTCATGAGGCTCACCAAATTATCTCAAAATCAAAATAGGAATGTTCCCTCTTTCTCCTTTTACCAGCCCCTAATCAAGCAGAATGTCAAGAAGTCCACTGAATAAAAACGCACTGCGTGTGCGCACACACACACCATCCAGCCCTGGCAAAAGGCACAACACATACACACCCCCCCGCAGCATGTTCATACTGCATTCTGCCCTCTGCGCTGTAATTATCCTCACGCTTTGCATAAATCACAATGCAGTTTTGAAATCATCATGATGACTTTCTGGCATGATTGGTTCGGTGGCAACGGTAGTGACAAGATCCAGGGTAGGTGGGAGGAGCTGAGGCTTGGAGCCCACCAGGTCCAGGAGGATCCTGGAGCCATTGTGCTGGCTTGCTTCAGCTCATTGGATGGAAACTGCTGCAGACCACAGGGAACTCGGATCTAAGGTATAGGAACTTGGGGTCTTCCTAGGTGCAGGTCAGAGTTGAAAGCCTCTGCAGGACAGGAACTGTTAATTTTCAACATCCTATCTGCAGGCTCCAGCACAGTACTTGATTCTTAGTAGGTGCTGCATAAATTTTGGGCGAATGATTGAAGGAGGAAAGTGGACTGCAGATTTGCCAAGAAGCTTTTGGAGGCACAAGACTAAACTACTGGAAGCCAGAAGGTGGGGGTTCAGGCTCTGTCTCAACTAGTTGTGTAACTTTGGGCAAGTGACTAGATCTGTCTGGGTGCCAGACTGTTATATGTAAGACGATCGTACCATGTTCAACCTTAACTTTCAAAGATATTTCCTGTGAGTCCACTAAGGGAAATGATTGGTAAGTGGCAAATGCCACCTATCTCAGGTGTACCTTCTGACAGAGCAAGATCTTAAGTTTAAGAATGAGTTCATGGGGGGGAGGGGGAATCAGTGGGAGGGAAAGGAGAAATATCTGTAACAAAAATAAATTAATTAATTTTAAAAAAGAATGAATTTATAGCAACAATTTTCAACCGGTGTGCTGCAAGAATTCTTAAAACATGCGATACCTGACTATTTAGTCAGGGGCACTGATTTCTTTTCTTTTAGGTCGTCAAATTAAAAAATGACTGCAGCCAACACAAAATCCATCTGGTGTGAATGTATCAAAATTATACCTATTTTTTGGGTCAGATTGGTAAAACACACACACATATTGGTGTGCTGCAGAATTTTAGTGATTAGTCTACGTGTGCCATGAGATAAAAAAGGTTGAAAATTGCTGGTTTATAGTGTTTGCTTGGGGAGCGAATGGAGCCACACCCCAGAGGTTCTTAAGCCCTTCTCACCAGCTCCAAACCCAGCCTCTAACTTCCTCTTCAGTCCCTTGTCAGTATGGAGCTCTCTAACAAACCAAAGCCATAAACATAGGGGAACCATGGCTGGTGTGGCTCACTGGATAGAGTATTGGCCTGCACACGGAAGGGTTATGGGTTCATTTCCCAGCAATTCCTGGTCAAGGGCACATACCTGGGTTGTAAGTTCCATCCTCAGCCCCTGTCAGGTGCGGGAGGCAACCAATTGATGTGTCTTCTCTCAGATCGATGTGTGTGTGTGCGCATGTCTCTCTCTCCCCTCATTCCTTTCACTCTCTCTACCCTCCCCCCCTGCAAATCAATGGAAAAAAATATCCCTTGGGTGAGGGTTAACAACAAAACAACAACAACAGGGGAGGCATCTTTTATTAGAGAATGTTTACATTTTGGTCCAGAAGTTAAGAAATAAGAACAGGAGAAGGACCACAGAATCTAGGGGTCTCTATGTTCATCCACCAATCCACCCCATTCATGAAATACTGAGCATCCCCTTATATGCCAGAGACTAATGATGTGACCCCTTTCCCAAGGAGGTCACAGAAGGAGCAGACACATAAAAGATGATAAATGCTTTGGAGTGTACTAAAACATTGGACTTTCTGGAAAAAATATACAAGGGACCCAAAACCAGTGTGGAGTGGGGTAGGCTCTCAGGGAATGCCCTGGAAAGCTGGCCTTGTGTTAGGAAACTTTACTGCCCCTGAAAACTGTGTTGTATTGTAGCTTACTCTCCTGCTAATGCCACTTCCCATTTATTTTAAAAGGGAAGTAGAGTCCTGTTAAGTAGATTGTATAAGGGCACAGCAGTGCAGGACATTACATTATCTGGGTCTGACCCCTAGCTCTTGGCTCATGAGCTTCTCTAAAAATGTTGTCATCTTTCTTCATTAACTGTCCCCCTCATTCTTCTAAATTCAAACAGCCAAGAAGAAAGGAAAATGTTCTTATCAGCAAGCAGAGCTGCTGAAGTTGGTGTGGAACAGAGACCCCTTCCCCAACCAGTGATCAACCCCCTCAGAGGCCATTCGACCTCTAGAAACTCATTCCTTTAAAATGACCTTCACTTCACGGAGGAGCAGAGTTGAGTGATATTCAGACCCAGAAAAGGCCTGTGAAAACCTACCAGTTGAGCTTGGCTGAGGTTTGATGTTCAATTGCCAAAAGACACTGACACAAGTTGTTCATTTGTTTGTTTATTTGCATAAAGAAGAAAGTTGGTTTTCATTTGCTTCCAAGTCCTAATTTAACCTATGGTTGTTTGTTGCTTCCTCCAGTGGATGGTAAGTGAGAGAGAAGGTGGGTCATGGAGCAGAGTGTAACAGAATGAAAGGAAGTCTCATCAGGCTTGCTCCTGATTCTGCTGTGGACCTCTCTTCAAGTTGTTTGCCTTCCGTCTAACTTGACTCAGAAAAACAACACTGAGAATGAGGCAGAAAGGAGGCACAGGTGCTTCAGAACCCTATGTGCTGAGTAGCATAGTTTTTTCTTGACACTTACCAGGACTGTGTTGGCTAAGTTTTGTCTGTTACTCCCCACCAGTGGGAAGACAACACTGGTAAAAGCAACAAGAATAAGACCATGCTGTGTGGGAGAGGCTCCTTCCCCCACCCCCACAGATAACAAA